AATAATAATAATAATAATAATAATAATAATAATAATAATAATAATAACCACCTAATCTAAAATCTATCTAAAACATATAATAAGTTAGATAGTTTTAAAATGCTACTTTATACATAGGGCTAAATCACATATGCATTGTTTGATTCAAGACAATTTTTGCCTTGGAAAAGAAACTGTTCTCAGTCTATTAGTCCTCATTTTAAGACACCTATAGCGTCTCCCTGATGGTAACAGTTCAAAAGTTATTTCTATTTGTAATATAACAAAGCTATCTTATGTACCTTTGCAGAATACCTTTTACAATTAAATTTTCACCCATTATCTCTAAACAAACTTATGGTTACAATCTTTTCCCTGTTTCTCCATTTCTTGCTTCTGTCTTTTACAACTTCTTTTCCTTGCCTTCTTCCCCCACTTCTTCTCCCTCCCCTTTTTACCCCCTCGTCTCTCTACTTCTAACTCTCTCATCTGTAGTCCCCTCTTCTGTTGCTTTCTAATATTATACTTATCTTTCAAATTGTTCTTCTTCTTTTTGGTTGTTTTTTCTAATCTTAAACCTTTCACTCTCTTTGCCCCCTTTTCTCCCCCCACTTAAAATTATTTGATCATTAAAGATGGCTTCTTCTTTGTCCCAATCTTCTTGTTCTGCAAGCGTTTCTTGTTGCTTCTCATAGTTCCAGATCTCCATTTCTAAGAATTGAAACACGAAGCCAAAAGAATTTCTCTCTTTTTGTGCGTCTTCTTTCCATTTTTTAAGTTCCGTTTTCAGTTCTTCTAAGAGTGACACCATTTTAAAAACTTTTAAACAACCACCCAGTTAATTTTAGTCATCTAGATGCAAAAACCAAAAATCACCAAGTAATCCAAATAATCCAAGGCTGTTTCTACTTGCTTATTTTTTCCACTTTCTCTTCCTGGGGTTCTATTATTTTGTTACCAAGTTTCCATTAAAATGTATCTTTGAGGAATCTTGTTAAAATTTCACTGTAAGTTCCTTTTAATTACAGTTCCATTCCTTAATTCCAGGCAGTCTCCTCCATTTTTCCAGATCCTGCCCTTCTATTCTTTTTTTCTCCTTTCCAGCTTTTAAAAACTTTTAAATGTCCAGAAATCTTTATTTATCCCTTTGACTTTTATTTTCAGCTTAGATGCCTATTAATGTCAAAGTGGTTTTTTTTTTTCAGTTTCTTGCTTAAGTCTCTTAGCTGTCAGTATAAAGAAGGGAAGAAAAAAAAACTAATCCTTTCCCTTCTCTCTCTCCTTCGCAGCTTCAAAATCTTCTTTGGGAACAATGTTGTTAAGTTTAAATTCCAGGGCACCTTATTTGTTGCTTTTGCTGTTTGACCTGGTCAACCAAAACTTTCTCTTCATATCTTCCTCCTGCACATTCTTTTCCGGTCGAGTTCTTCTTTGTGGTGGCCATTTCTGACCACCGCTACAACCGCCTTCAGGAAAGGGAGTAATGGCCAGCTGGGGAGGAGATATGCGGCTCTCCTCAACCCTGCAGGCAGTCTCCCCACTCTTCATCACCTCTACGGGGTGGCTTAGCCCCGAAACCAGCCGGCTCGGGGCGCTTCAGTGGCAAGCACGGATCGAAGCCTCAGAGAGACGAGGTTTCGGTCTGTCGCCGAAGAAGCTCAAACCGGAAGAGCACCCAGACCACTCTTTTTCAGCAGCCTCAGAAAGTGCAGGTGCTGTTGGGCCTTCTTTGCAGTGGCCATAGTGTGGACCGACCAAGTAAGGTTGTCAGAAATATGAGTTCCTAGAAATTTAAAACTATGAACTCTTTCCACACAGTCTCCATTGATACATAGTGGGAGAAGCTCTGCTTTGCATTGTCTGAAGTCTATAATCAATTCTTTGGTCTTTTTGATGTTCAGGGCGAGGTTATGATTCTTGCACCACAAGACCAGTCTGAGAACCTATGACCTATAGACCGTCTCGTCTTCTCTTGATATGAGTCCTACCAATGTGGTGTCATCTGCAAAGTTTATTATAGAGTTAGTGGGACAAGAGGGAGTGCAGTCGTAGGTGTAGAATGAATACAAAAGGGGGCTCAGCACACAACCCTGTGGAGAGCCAGTGCTGAGAGCAAGAGTGGAGGAAAAATAGCTGCCAATCCTAACAGTTTGGGGTCTGTTAGTAAGAAAGTCCTTTATCCAATTTATGTTTTGGTAGTGACTTTTTATGTTCGTATTCCTATGTTAGACCTATGTCTTCTTAACTATTTTTTATTTAAAACTTTCCTTGAGATTGCAGCCAATCTCAGTCCATTTGCATGTGAAAACCTTTTACTCTTCTTTATAGACTTGTAAATGGGCTTTTCTCTCTCCCTGGTGCTCATCAGTCCTCTGTTTCAGGAGCTGGTTTGTAAAACTCTATAGGAACTGAGCTTGCTTGTTTTTTTCGTTTTTTTCCTCCGTGTCTTTCAACTCAGATTCTCAGAGGTCTTGCAGTTCCAAAAAGTGTGTTTTTTTTTCTAGCTGCCTGGAGACTACAGTACTGCTGAAGTGCCTACTTGATTGAGTTTCCCACAGCTCTGCTTGAATGAATGAATGAATGAATGAATGAACGAATGAGTGTATGTATGTATGTATGTATGTATGTATGTATGTATGTATGTATGTATGTTTATATGTATGCTTTATTTTAGCAAAGTGATTAGACACACAAGGAATTTGTCTTTGGTGCAGAAGCTCTCAGTATACATGCAAAGAAACAGAATAATATCCGTTTCCCCAAAAATATGACCTGCCCTTAAAGTAAGTCCTAGCTTGATTTTTACACGTGCACCCAATATAAGCACTATCCCCAAAATAAGACCTAATTAAGATTCCACCTACTCCAGAGTGCATGGGTAAAAATTTGGCTGGGGGGGGGCATGGGGGGATGGAGCTGCCCTACTACTTACCTTTGGACAGTTGTAGCGAGACCTTGCACACCGCGACACCTGCCCTGCCCAGCCCATTTCTTCTGCAGCTGGCAAGGATTTCCTGAAGGCCTCTGTAGCTGATAACAAAGCTCTGGATCGATTTGGAGCTCTGTTATCTGCTGCAGAGTCTTGCCAGCCACAGAAGAAGAAGAAGTTCCTGAAGGCCTCTGACATGAAAAGGAGGCCAGGGGTGACGCACACAAATGAAGTTAGTCAGTGGATGACATCCCCTCAAAATAAGACCTGGTGCCTTTTTTTGGGTGGCAAAAAAATATAAGACAGGGTCTTATTTTCAGGGAAACATGGTAATCATAACAATTATAATAATAAGATTGGGGAGTAAAGAAGATAAGAAGTATAAATAAATATTACTACACCAGACTATGTGGGTAAATACACATAGACATTAGACAGCATTGTGAGAATTAGGTGTTCTACAGAGTGATGGCATACAAGGAAAAAAATTGTCCCTATGCCTAGTTGTTTTGGCATGCAATGCCCTATAGTGCCATCCTGAGGGGAAGAATTGAAAAAGTTTGCGTCCAGGATGTGAGGGGTCTGCAGATATCTTATCAGCCCTCCTTCTGACCCACACAATATACAGGTCTTCTATGGAAGGCAGGCTGGTTGCAATTTTTCTTTCTGCTTTCTTTGTTTCTGCAAATGGATAAGAAACATAAATAAAATAAACTGTGCTCAAACACTTTCTTTATTTAACATGCAACCGTGCCACATAATTGTTCGTTCTGATCTCCCCTGAATTAGTTTGTTACTTCCTCAAGAAAACTGTGCACTGGATACGTGCGATTCTGGGTCCAGAAATGTGTTTCAAATGCAGAAATGACTGTGATTCACAGGTTGTTCCTACAAGAAGACAAATCATCCTCTATCTCTGGCTTCATTTCAGTTTTATGATGCCAACTGAAGAGGGGTCCTTCTGTTACTGCAGTGCATTGAAATCAATCACTTTTTTCAACCAACTAACTCCCAGAATTCTCCAGCCAGCCATCAAGGAGTTTCCACAGAAGATTGTGGAGAATAATAGAGCTAAGAATCTGTGGGAGTTCTGGATCCAGAAGGACAGACAGGAATTAGTTAATCAACCAGACACTGTAGTAGTAGACAAATTAATAGACAAATACCAGAAGAGCTCGGGAGGCCAAGCAAGTGGGGCGAGGCAAGGCGCCCCTTGACATGAGTGATGTGGAGTTGGCCATGCCCACACAGTCACATGACCACCCAGCCATGACCACCCAGTCACATGGCCACCAAGTCACACCCACAGAACCGGTAGTAAAAAAAAATTGAACCCTGCCACTTAACTAGGAGTAATCAAAATCTACTATCTGCTAATTCTATTCTTAATAGTCTTCTCCTCCTCCTCCTTCTCTCCCCTTTTAACCCTCAAATACATATGAAGTCATCTTGCTCACCTTTAAAAGCCTAAACAATTTTGAATCCAGGAAAACCTCTTCCCAAATGAACCTGCTCACAATCAACTTCAAAAACAAATTAGGGAAGCTGCAACGCTGAATTATTTGTTTTTGTCCTGAAGAAGCCCAGAAAGCATGTCATCACATTTGAACAAGAATGTATCAAGCAACCATAATGCCATTTTCAGGCAAGTTTCAACGTGTGTTGGGAAGGGAGAGATAATGGAGTGTACTCATTTATCAAGCAAACAAACAAGGAATGAAGATCATAACTGTTCACAGCACTGATTGTCACTTAAGAAAGCCTGGCTCTATCTACTTTAGTGATGCTATAATCTCTGATTGCAGTCCTAAACTACCAATAAGAAGAAGAATGTTCAAAAGTGGATTGAAGAATGAACGGATAGGCAAAGACACAAAAAGTATGGCCACCAATATATGTATGTATTTATATAATTATTTCTAGGTTCTATCATATCTCAAAATCTAAAATGGACACCTAACATCAAAAAGTCATCAAAACAGAACAACAAAGAATGTTCTTTCTGCACCATCACTCTGCTAAACAAATAATTCCCTCAACACTGTCACACTATTTACTAAATCTATTTACTATTACTATTAATCCTTCTATCCTTCCTTTCACCCATCCCCTCCCACTTATGACTGTATGACTGCAACTTTGTTGCTTGTATCCTAATGATTTTATTGACTGTTTCCTAGTATGATTTGATTGCTTATTGTACCCTAAGATTATTATTAAGTGTTGTACCTTATGATTCTTGACAAATGTATTTTATGTTTTCTTATGTTCACTGAGAGCATTTGCACCAAGACAAATTCCTTGTGTGTCCAATCACACTTGGCCAATAAAGAATTCTATTCTATTCAATTATTATTTGAGATATTTAGTAGTACAATAAATGTTCTAATTCCTCCCATTCTTGGTTAATATGCAGGCTTACCTTGATCATTTTTTCCCACTGATTGATCAAGCAGTAAAGCAAACCTTAGAAGAACGGATCAAAATTATGCAAAGGTTCTTTCATTTGACTGTAACTGGGAAGGTGGATACTGAAACCATTAAAGTAATGGACCAGCCCAGGTGTGGAGTAGCAGATGTCTTGGAATATACCACATTTCCAGGAGCACCAAAATGGAATAAAAAGATATTGACTTACAGGTAAGTTATATTTCCATTTGATTTCTAAGAAGCAGAAGAAAACAAGGAAAAAATCTACTTCCTAATGATACAGTATGTATTGTGTTTTCCTCCATTACTCAAAGGATTAACAACTATACCCCTGACATGCCAAAAGACCAGGTGGACAGAGCCATAGCAAATGCTCTAAAAGTATGGAGTGATGTGACTCCCCTACAGTTTAAAAAAATCACCGGACCTGCTGATATTGAAGTTCTTTTTGCACGTAGAAGTAAGCACAGCTTGTTTATTCTTATATATTAATTTTTATTTACAGTTTATATCTTATTCCTGTGGAAAACTGTCTGGTCCTTGATTCTGCTCCTTCTCCATAACTAGATCCTTGGAAGAAGTGGTTTCTACCATGCTGACATAAGGACCATCTGATGATGACTTAGTTGTTACCAGTACAATGATGAAACTTGATCATAGCTTCTACCCAATCAGATCCATTGGGTTACTTTAGTCGTGAAAGGGGTGAAATCATTAGAAGAGACATTTTAAAATGTGGAAATAGTTTTAAAGCTGAAAAGAATTACTTAGGGAAGGTAAAATGAATTGAAATAGATGGTAACCATTATTTATGTATGTATGTACTAGCTCGATACCAGTGCTTCGCTATGAAACTACGTGGTCGGGCTTAGTTTTGGGGGAGGAAAATAAGGGGGGGGGAAATGTGCCTCTGCCTGCCAGCATCCATCAGTATTCATCTGGCTAGCGTCCTGTCAGTGTGTGAGAGAGTTGAGAGCTGTTTAGAAACTGAAACAGAATTTGCTGTGTGAGCAAGGAGGAGACAGCAAGGAGCTTGGGCATGGCTTAGCTCAACTGTTCTGTACTAAAGCTGCATGGTGCTGTGAAAGTAAAACTGAAACTGAAACTCCTCTCCTCTGCTTGTGTTTTCCATTTGGAACATATTTCTTTTCAGGTGGGGAAGGGGAGTAGAACTCCTTAGCATCAGAACGTGTTAATAATAATATACAAAATACTAATGCTCTAATGGTCATTTTGAAAAATCCTTTCTTAGTGAGCACCTAGAAGCCAAGAGGAACTTATGTGATAAATTTCAAGTTTGTAGGCTTTACAGTTCTGGAGATTTTGTGATGATTTGTGATAGATTTATTAAATCTACATAGCCGCTGATTTCATGAGAGGTTTAACTCATTTCTTCAGCTTCTCAGGAACAAACTGTGTTTTGAAGGGCAGTATATGTTTTAACATAAATAAATAAAACTAGAAAAAAAACATTTTTCTTATAAGAGGAATTAATTTGTACACCACACAGAGTTTCTCTATGAGAGAGATGGGCAGTTTCTAAATATGATATATAAAATAAATACAGTTAATTGACTTTTGCTAAGCTTAACAGTTCAAATAACATCAAAGTATAGTCCATTGTTTTATTTAATTAAAACTGGGTCCTGCATACACCATTAAGCATAAGCACATACAGAAGATGCAAAGCCAAAGATTTCTAAATATTTCAGAATTCATATGTTTTGCTCCAAATGCAAGATAAAACAGGGCCATTTCAAATAGATTGCTTTGAACATTTCAAGAGTCTTAAGTTCAAAATTTGGCTAGTTCTTTTTATAAGATGCATTTGGCTTAGGGTTTTTTTTCCAATTTTTTATGAGTTAGTTTCATCATGGGTTAGTTCCATAATTGGCCAAGATGGAGTAAGGATAAAAGTAAATGAGGGTGATGGAAAAGTGGAAGCACGTTTAGAAGGAGATGCTGGTTAAAACAACAAACCTTAAATCACCTCAGTCATACAGATAGAAATGTTTGTGGGTAAATGGTGTATTCATGAGAATTATTCAGAAGAATCTGGACTACTTGCTCAATAAGTGTACTTGCATTTAAAAAAAAAATGCATTATGGAAATTAAAATGCATGGGTTTTGTGAATGTTATATGTTGACATTTGGCAAATGCAAAGGTATGGATTATGTATTATACACAATGGTCTTGAGATATTCAGGCCATAAAAGACTGGTCTATTTTCTGAAAAGACTTCATAAATTTAAGCATATATACTCTTTTTGCTTATGTTACTATTAAACTTTAAAGCTGCATGTTATATACAAGGACGAGCTGCATTAGGAAGTGAGCAAATTTTCAGGCCATTAGCCAGGAAAATGTAATTGTGGCTACTGTTTGTTGTATGTGCGTAAAGTGAATCAAGCTGTGTATTTCCTGGGTTTCCATAGCCATTTGTACAGATAATTTGGAAAATATGCTTCAATTGGCCTATCTTTTGGTACCTAATAGAACTTTTAAAATCAAATAAAAACCCAGGAATTAGGCAAAGAATTCTTAGTTCTCCATGTAATTTTCCAGGCAAAGAAAGCACCTTTTAGCATCCTCATAATGCAGGAGGGTCAGTTAATCAATTAATGTTTGTCTTTCTGGCAATAGCTTCTCTGTCCTAGATAGTTATATATTTGTTGAATTGCTTTTTAATTAATAACAAAATTGAAAAGAAAAGAGCAAAAGCAAAGGTAATAATAGCGAAAAGAATTAACAAGCGGTTCCTACTGAGAATGTGCACCGTGTTTTAAATAACTATGAATCCTTAGTATTGCTGATGAAAACACTTTGATTGTTTTCCATTTAGACCATGGCGACAACTTTCCTTTTGATGGAAGAGGTAGAGTCCTGGCACACGCTTTTGCTCCTGGACCAGGTCTAGGGGGCGATACTCACTTTGATGAGGATGAGGCCTGGTCAGAAATCAATAAAGGTTTGCTATAAGAATATGTGCACCAGAACTCTGCTATGCAATGTATACACCTACCTCACTTTCATTGGCCACATCAAGTGTTGCATGGAAATAAAAAAGAACACCTCCCAAATTATAGGTGGTTCTCATTTAATTGGGACGGTGACCTGTTTTGCCAAGTGACATGGTTGCTAGGATGCCAACTGGCCAGGGTACCAGTTACTGTCACTCAGCAAGACCTGTAGTGTCCTGTTACAACATTACAGTACCCTGCAGTCATTTGGTCAACCTTTATGAATTCCTGCTGGCTTCCCCATTGACTCTGCTTGTCAAAAGCCAGTAGTGAGGATCACAAATGGGACTTAGGTTTCCAGGCTTCAAAATTTTTAGCAAAGAGTTCTCTCCCCAGTTGCTGGTGGGCATGGCCTAGTCAGCCTCCTGCACCATGGTGGGGGGGGGGGAGCGTTTTGCCCCCTCCGGGCTCCGGAGACTTTCTTCGAGCCTCCAGGAGGGCAAAAATGGCCTCCCCGGGCTTCAGAGGCGCTCTGGAAGCCAGAAATGGGCCCATAACTGGCCTTCCCGAACTTCCGGGAGGCCCATTTTTTGCTCTCCCCAAGCCTCCATGCGCGCCCTGCACTTACCTGCATCCAAAACGGGCCATGTGGGGACTCCTGGGACGGGTGGGGCAGGGTAGGTGGGGCCAGTCAGGAGTGGGATTTCTCCGAACTACACAGAATCTTAGCTAGGGGCTCTCCCGAACCCCTGCAAACCCCCAGCAGCCCACCCCTGTATGTATCTGCTAGGATGTGGCAATGATCTAATTTGAAGCCGGTTACCAAGTGCCTGAATTGCAATTAGAACTGTAGGGATGCTACAATGACCGCAATTCAGAGGAACTGCTATAAGCCTCCTGCATTCAGCACCATAACTTCAAATGGTCACAAAAGTGAGTGGTCATTCAACAAGGATTACTGGCATTGCATTGTTTTATAAATGACAAATTCATGGAGTTCAGTGCTGCCAAATGTTAAAGAACCCGTTGTTTAAAAAGATGAAATATATTCTCTTAATGTAAAGAAACTCAAGTTTTAAATGGCATGTGATTGATTGTTTTCACAATGGAAGGCCACTAGCTTTATAACTATGGAGATTCTCGGCCATCCAAGCGATGGTTGTTCCAAAGGTGCTTTTTTCAAGAGGCAACTGGACTTTCTTGTTTTTCTTTGAAGACATTTCAAAAAATGCAAATGACCATCTGTCTGCAAGGTGTATAAATCCTTCCATTCCCCATCATCCAGTCAGAGCTGAAGAAACTTCTTGGATGAGCAGTCAAACATCTTCAATGAAAAACAAGAAAGTCCAGTTGCCTCTTGAAAAAGCACCTTTGAGACACTAGCTTTATAGTTTTAATACATTTTGTCGTATTACATGAACATTTGCCCTATGACCATAACTGTACTTTTATTTATTCTTCCATATTCCTTAAAGTCAAACTCCTGCAACTTCTTGCAGCTTTCTTGACATAACTGGCTGTAAATGCACATCTATGAAAAATTAATAGTTACAATTCACCTACCTATTTTCTGTGTTTTAGAAATAAATCTCTTCCTTGTTGCTGCCCATGAATTTGGGCATTCCCTGGGACTAGCTCATTCTGATGTCCCTGGATCCTTGATGTATCCTACTTACTCCTACGTGAATCCAAACACTTTTCGTCTTCCAGAGGATGATCGGCGAGGAATTCAGAGTATATATGGTAACTTCAGTGGTGGGATTCAATTTTTTTTACTACCGGTTCTGTAGGCATGGCTTGGTGGGCATGGCAGGGGAAGGATACTGTAGGAAGGAAACATGGAGAAGTTACTCCGACCATAAGAAAAACCTTAAACTGAGAAATAGAATCATTAGAAGTTTCTAGGAAAACATAAATTACAGCTAAGTACTACTTAATTTACGGGAAACTACAGCTCCAAACATATTGAGAATGAGAAACTATTTCAAAAGTGAGTACCAAACGTATTAAAATAGAAAGCTATTCAAGAGTCAGCACCAAAACACATTAGAATAGAGAATCGTTAGAAAACCCCTATAGAAACAGATAGCCCAAAAGAAAAAACAAAATAGAGTAATTAAAACATTCCAATATAGTAAAAGGAAAAGCAGGAAATGTAGATACAGGAAGAAACGGGCCACAATAAAAAAAGGGGAAAGCAAACAGGAAGGTGCTAAAGATCGATCACAATATCAGCTTTTGATATACACATGGGACAAATAGAAGATTAAATTATGAACACAATTAAACACTAGCAAGCACTTCCTTGCCAGCCCTCTCCACAGGGGAATCACAAAGAGCAGAACAGGAATGAAGCCATTAAGCACAGGAATCACACAAAGCCAGAGACATTAACACGAACAGCACAAAGCTATGGAAATCAGAATTCGAAGAGGAAAAGGGTATAAAATCATCCAGTCACTCACAGTTCAGGTGCTAGCCCAAGAACGTGTATCCATGCTGCCGCTTGTGCTGCTTATACTCCCTTCCTGTAACAATAAAGAAGACCTTGCTTGCAGCAGCTGTTCTGTTTGGAAATTCGAACCCAGTGGAGGAAGTTTCATTTAAAATTCAATAACACTGTAAAATCTCCAGCCAGAGGTGGTATTTGCCGGTTCTCCAAATTTCTGCTACCGGTTCTCCAGAACTGGTCAGAACCTGCTGAATACTACCTCTGGGTAACTTCACTGAGAAAAATCTTTTCCCTATTTAAAATTATGCTACAGAGATGCATAGCTAATGCTTCTGTTTAAAAGAATCAGTGTCCAGTAAAAACCAAAACAATCAAAAATAGTTTTATCTACAATCTACAAAACCAGTAGTATATATCAAAATTGGGTCACGGTTAGATTTAGCTCTTTCTTTAGAGATATTTCCATCGGTTCAGCAATTAATCATGTCAGGAAAACTTATGGAATGTGTTATTTGACAGGAAGAAAATCATTAGGAGTTATAAACGTAAACCATCATAGCACTAAAATGAATAATGGTGATAGCATAGTATAAATCATCCTGATACTATAGAAATATCATTGTATTGGAAATAACAGACTGAATTCTGGATTTCCTGAAAAGATATTGGCCAGATGTGAAAACTGATTTAAAGCATGATCAGTGGCTTTGGATTTTATTTCATTTTAAAACGATAGAGTACACCAGGTATGGATTTATCTCTGACATTGTAGGTTCTCTGTTTCTAGAGGTTTGTAAGAAAGGTCTGGTTAGCTATCTCAAATTGTTTGCCGGCATATTACAGATAGATGGATTAGATGATCCTTGTAGTTCTTCCAAATCTAATACTCATTTAATAGGCAAGAATATGTTAAATGGTGATTAAAAAAAAAAACGTGATGTCTATTGTAACAAGCTATCTTCCCTGCCAGGCGACCTATTAAACTGAGATTATATCAATCATAGAAGAAGAAGGGATGAAATATAAATAAGGAAGAACATGAGCAAATATATAAAATCCTAATTTGAAAAAGTTTGAGAAGGGACTGATTGAACAACTAGGCAAGAAAAATAGACAACCGATTAAGCGGCATAGAATGTTCACACACACACTTTTTTTCAAAACCAGCAATGATTCAATTGTTGTATATTTCAGAGGAAAATACTTGGAGCTGCAATCCTACACCTGCTTGACTGTGAAAGTACAAGCTCTCCTCGCAGGGGAAAAAAATGTGTAGAAAATTGTGCCTTGGCTACTATAGGATTCTGATGCTTGCCCATAGTCATACAGTTGAAACTTGGATGGCTATCAGCAAGAGGATGACACGACTGGGGTAACATCAGTCTAAATAGGATTCATTCAGAATGTCCTTGTGTTGTAACACCTTCCTTCCTATTTTGTTCCATTTCTGAGGTTTGAATGTGTTCTTACTTCCTTTTTGTTCCTATTTCATTCATCCAGGAAAGAAAAAATAGAACAGCTGTATTTTGTATTGAAACCCATCTAGTTCTCCTTCTATGGAGGTCTGAGATTGAACAGCTGTCTGTCTGAAACTCTCTTCTGATCCCTGCACTGAAGTGGGGGTTGAACTGGATGACCTTGAGGGTACCTTCCAACTCTGTGATTCCATGATTTTACCTATGCAAACTCACAAGGATTCAAGCAGGCATTGTGAACAACAGTATTGTGTGCTGCAATAATAAAGATTGAATGAATGATTCTAATTGTGTTTTCAAAGCAACTTACTTTTCCATGTGTTTAAAAAGCGAGTATTTTTTTTAAACAAATAAATACATTCAGAAGAGTTGCTGAGCAAGAAAAAGTTCTGAGTTATAGAATTTCCTTCAAGTTTATTTAGATACCAGTTTTCTGTGAGTTAAATTGAATATTTTCAGTTTTCTGTCATTCCCAAACCTTAGGAATAGCCTATGGCCGCAGTTTATAGCTGATCTGGATGTCAAAAATCTTGATTTGGCCTTAGATTTTTTTTTTCCCCATAGACAAGTGATGGAAAGACAACTTTACAGATTTTAGTAGCAATGCCCTCGGTAAATTTTTCTCTATTTCTTGTAATATTTATTCTTCTAATATTTCAATATCAAGTATTGAAAAGGATTAGTGTTAGATTGACACTGATAAATAAAAGCAGTGCCAATTTTGCAATTGTTTTGGGACTTGTTGAAATATTTCGGTTTACAAAGGGATTACCAATTTCCCTGTTTCCTGATGATGAAATCATTATTCAGTTTCAAAACTTTTATTGTTTTATATCCTGATATCCTGTCCTGAAATCTATAATGAACATAAACTTTAATAAATAAGTAAATATTAGGTTAAAAGAACAACAACAAAAAGAATACATAAAAGGAACAGTGGAACCAGTAAACATTTTTGCTAAACCAGGATTGGGGGCAGATTTTCTTTATCCAAGTTTAACGAGTTGAAATCAATTCTTATTCCATTTCTGAGCCTCAGTAAAATTCAATTCCCAACCTCTTTTGTTGAACCTTCGCACGCTGTGAACAGTGATACCTTGACAACAACACACAGACACAAGGACATGTAATGCTGGTCTGAGACCATAATAAAAATTGATTGAGACACAATGACATTGGAAATTGCTTTCTGATTTATATTCCAGCTTTATTACTTTAATAAATAACTCAAAGAGATGAACGCCCACAGTTCTAACTTTCTCCTCCTATTTTCCCCACAGCAACAACCCTGTGAGGTGGGTTGAACTGAATGAAATTGACTGTGTTCTGTCCTAGGCCTCCCCAAAAAGCACTAAGTCAATTCTGAGTCCCGGCAAAAAACTCTTATTACATTAATGTGAATTTATTTCATTCACAGTCAGCCAACAGCTTGGCAAAAAGTCTTGCGAAGGTATACTAATGAGCTCAGACTTTTATCAATCCTGGAATGCTGCCCGGTAAATAGTTCCACACTCAGTGCTGGCAGGGAAGGGCTGGGTTATATAGACAAATCTCCACAAGGCTGGAACAAACGACCGAACGAGCGAGTTGTTTCCTGCAAAAGCACCCTCCCCTTTTGCTCCTCTTTTAATCCTGATGGGAGGGGCCATTCACCATCCCATGTCAACCTTGAGTTCTTAATTGTGCCTTCCTTTTGGCAGCTCTGCGCATGCACAGGCTGGGAACCGGTTCCAGAAGCTCCCCCGCCTCACTGCTTTCCGAGCCCAAAGGCAGCTGATGACTGTCTTGGTCCCAACTCTGCCTCTGATGCAGAGCCCTCATCCGAGCCTTCCTCAGCCTCCAGGAATGGCCTAGATTTCCCCCCTCCCAACCTCCTCACTACTGTCCGACTCTGCTGCCAGCTCCACCAGCCTCCAGCGGGTCACAACAGACTGGTCCAAAATCACCCAGCTGGCTTTCATGCCTAGGGTGGAACTAAAATTCATAGTCTCTTGGTTTCAAGCCTGTTGCATTAACCATTTGACCAAA